AAAAAGAAAGAAAGAAAGTTTAATGAGACACAAGAACGTTAATAATACATACTGCAATGATGTTCACAGTGTGCTAATGGACACTTGATGTGTGCTGGTTGCTTCACTCATGTCCTCGCAGATGCCAGGCTGCGGGACGAGATGGCAACATGCCCCAACTGCAGAATCGAAATCAGCAAAACCACCGCGTCACGAAATCTGGCAGTTGAAAAAGCCGTGTCTGAGTTACCCGCCGAATGTCAATATTGCGCGAAGGAGTTCCCGCGAAATTCCTTAGAGCACCACGAAGAGGCTATGTGCGAGGAAAGGTAAATCCGTAAGGCAAAATTTACTTAAATCTTATAAGCATTTCTCCGTGGGGTCTCTCGCCAACATCTCTGACTAATGTAACTGATCTCTTTACGATATAGTTACAGGTGGACCGCGCAAATACATAGTAATAGAAGGCAGTTACTTATGTGCACACAAACATAACTTCCCTAAATTTCCCAAAAATTTAATATGCGTCGCAGATTAGAAATGTCTGTTCCAAAGTCCTACATAAAGTTCTCTCATAATCCACCATGCTCTCCTTGCTGTGTAACGTACTTATGTATGTGTGTGCTCATATCCGATATCTAATTACTTGTACAGGATATCTAGTTGCAAATATAGTAGAATCGGTTGTCCATGGCGAGGCCCGAACCACGAGATTCCGGAACACGAGAGTCACTGCGCTCATCCTCATCGTACAGGTGCGGACGTGATGGAGGCTCTGCGCGAGATTGATGCCCGTACCTTGGACGAACGTAGGCTCTATGACAATGTCTTTGATCTTTTGTCCTACGAGAAAATCACATTTAACGGTCTGTATCAATTGTTAAATATTACTATAATATTACGCAAAGATATTGAAATAATCTGTAGATTACTAGATAGAGAAAATGTATATCATATGATTTTTCTGTATTCCTAGCAGCATTAAAAATTGCAATTGGATAAATAATTTTTTTGCATCACGATATTCATCTTATAATATTGTAACATTTCTTGATTTGTCTTCTTGCATCTTTTTTTTTCTTTCGTAGTTATAGGTAATATATATGCTCGTAAGATTTATCAATTATGCATAAAATTTTGTCGTTTGTAGATTTACAGATGAAGCCATATCGTACTGACGAATTTATCCATAAACTATTTTATGAAACTTCACGATTCGGCGCTTTCAATAATCAGTGGGTAGTGAAGGCCAGGATCAATAGTAATCAACGCGATCCTACTCAAAGTTCAGAGCGAGACATAACTTACCAAGTACGAAAAATCGCATGTCTTTGTAATTTTAAAAAGAAGTTTAAGTATCGCACTACACTGTCCGTATATGCGTGCGTGTAAGCGGATTAAAAGAAATTGTTGAATTATAAAGCTGGTATACGATGTAACAGCCTGCGATCTAAGCATAAAATGTTTTGTAGCTGATACTAAAGACAAAAACCACTTATCCGCTACCAGTTTATTACTTGATCTTGAAAGGGCCATTTGGCGATATGAAAGTCCATCCGAGAATTCACAGATTCGAATTTACCGAGCAAGAAAATGAGAGTCCGTATTTTACATTGCCATTACCGGACACGGCGGAATGCAATAGACTCCTTGCGGCTAAAGCCATCAGTTTTAGGTAAAGGATCGATTTTAGATAAACGCGATAGAGCTACTGCAGTCACTTTATTACAATATAATACACAATGGGTGTAACTCATATGTACAATGTGTAATTTTTCGTTTGCAGACTAATAATGTTCCTGGCATCTAAGTAGCTTACAACGATAAAATCTATTGTCAAGATTTTGTCATAAAAGGAATCGATCGACGAGATCTTCTAGATATAACGAAAAATACAAATATAGCGATCACAGAGATTTATAATCGTATAGTAGCGATATTGATCATACTAATGATGAATAATGAAAAGAGAAAGAGATTCAAAGATACTAATATAATTGTAATGTTTAAAAATACATGTTAAATATGTATAAAATTAATATAATGTGACGACATACACGGAAAGCACAGAATATTTAAATATTGGAAAAATAAATTTTAAATTGCTTTACACCTTCCTTTTAAATCAAACTTTTACATTAAAACGAAAAGGAGAAACTAAGAACTAGCGATTAGTTTATATAGATTATTGTTAGATAATAAATTGTATGTCCCAGTTGTGCAATGTGCTTGTACCTCATGGTTAAGCTAAATGATCAGTATCGCTTAGATAATACTATAATTTAATATATCCTTGTCCAAGAAGAGCCTATTGTTTTTCGTTTATTTAAATAAAACGCTATCGATGTAAAATTCCGAATAAAAATTGTAATTATAAGAAGCCTAAAAATACTTCATTACATCCAAGTCACATTGATCACATTGTAGCATTAAGTCATTTTGTACACATCGAAATATGATACTGAAAAAAAGTTAACACTTCTATGATAATTCTTACTGATTTCTAATTTTTGCGCATATATTTGTACCTTAAGTTGCGCGCATGGCACATGTGAAATTCTGCATTGCAGATCTGCCGCTCTCTAAAGAGAACGTTAATTATTATAATTCTGCCAGATTGATGAAGGTGTTGTTGCTAGCCTTCGGGCCGTTTGTATTATTTGGCGGAAAGATTAACGGATTCAAATTATTCTCGGGTTGGCTGCTACTGAGTCTGCGATATCTCGGTACAACCAACCTGGAGTCGGGCTCCGAACAGCCGGTCAACCAGTAAGAAGTCACCCTGCCTTTTCCTTTCAACTCCACCTCCCCTCTGAGTTCGAGATCAAACGTCCCGAACTTGTCCAAGATATTCTTCGTCGCTTCCGAGACATGTATTCTCAAAGCTGCGAGACACAATAATGTTTACTTTGAATTTTTATTTTTATGTGAAATCGAAACTTCTTCAAAATTTCTATTCAATTTCTATTTTTTACGATTCTAAATATTTGATTCTAAATATTTGATTGTTCTGAAAGAGTTGTCAGTTTGATATACTTTAAAATTTATCTTACGAAGGCCGGAGGATTCCATTCGAGACGCTGTGTTCACGGTGTCGCCAAAGAGGCAATAGTGCGGCATCCTCTGACCCACCACCCCAGCGCAAACCGGACCACTGTGCACGCCGATTCGCACGCTCAATTGAGTGTTCTGCTTGTGCATTATAGTGAATGATCTGACGGCGTCCAATATCGCCAGAGCCATCAATCCAATTTCCCTCGCATGTTCGTCACCGTTCCTCTCCGGAAGGCCAGACGCCACCATATATGCATCTCCTATGGTCTCTACCTGTGGATCATACTCTAGTTTCAAGGTAGCTTTCTTTCTCAAACTCTTTTTGCGTTATTAGAGTTCAAATTTCAAGATTGTTTCTTTTTTTTTTTAAATCAATTATTTGTATAGTTCATTATTATTTAACTACCTTGTAAACGTCGTAAAATCCGATAATACTGTCGAAGGTACTGTACAAATCATTCAGGAAATCCACGACTTCCATAGGCGTGCTCTGCGCGCACAGCGCCGTGAAACCAACGATATCGCTGAAGTAGATAGTGACACACTCGAACTGTTCCGGTTGCACCATCTCCCCAGCCATCAGTTGACCGGCGACTTGTCTTTAAAAATTCGCTCTATTACGAAAGGACGAAAAAAACCGAAAAATTTGATAAAATGACGGTGAACAATTTTGATACCTCGGTAGCACTTGATACAGCAATTCCTCACTGCGACGCTTCTCCAAGCTCAACTGCTCCGTCTTCTCTTCGACGAGTGCTTCCAAGTTGTTGGCGTACTGCTCCATTCGTCGTAGCAAATCGTCCATTAAATTCTCGCAATATCCTCTGAAAGGTAAACTTTATTTTTGGTATCATATTTGATATCGATATTTACAATTTAAGCGCAATGGTATAATTTGATCAAGACTTGATATAAGTATATGAAAAATCGAAGCTTTAGTCTAACTTATTTTTTATTTCTTTTTAATTTTAAGAATTTGATTAAATCAATTAAAATTAATAAAAAAAAATAAATTAAACGAGATTACAATTTAAGACATTGATAGAGATGAACATTAGAGATGGACATGCTATCGCATTTATTGTGGAGGATTTAAGATGAAAATTGAATTTCATGTACTTCATAATTCCTCGTATTGTACCGCGAATCGCATGGAAACTAGGCCGTTCATCTGGAACTTCGTGCCAGCACTTTTCCATCAACGATAGTATATCCGGTGGACAGTCTTTCGGCGCGACTTCCGGCCTCAAGGGAGGATTCTCCGATGCTGACACCCTATTTACGATCTTCACAGCGAAAATATGTAGGAATAAAGAGGTCGCATTAAAATTAAAATCAAAAAAGCAGAAATCAAACGGATCATACTTCTTGTGCCGTCATAAAGGTCCTGGCTACCTCGTAGGGACCACCGCGGACTACTATCTCCTCCAGAATAATCGCAAAACTATAAACGTCACCCTTCTGCGTCGCGGCACTTCCGGGTGTTACCGTTAATGGTAGAAGTTCCGGGGCAATCCAAAGTAATTCTACCGATAAATAAAATATAATTATATTGATGCCTATTTCTATAATATATTATTATTACTTGATATATTATTTTTATTTTGATATTTTATTGTATTTTTTAGAAAACTCACTGATGTAATAACTCTCGTCCATAATCAAGTCGGAAGGCGTGGTGAGAGTTTTGAGGCCGAAGTCTGAGATTTTTAATACGAAACGACCATCGATTAAGCAATTGCACGATCGTAACTTTCCGTGAGCGGAAACTTCGCTGGCGTGAAGATAAGACATTCCCTGAAAGGAAACAAACTTTTTTCTCGTCTTCATATTACGCCCGCTTAAATGCGTGATAAATGTTGTATCAGTTGATTACGAAAATTGTTGAGTGTAAAATTATATTCTGAGTACTACTCGAGAACTTAACGAGAAACACAACTTCTGCACCTGTCTCTACCTTGACGATATCATGAATCAAGGACATCCGAAAGTTCCAATCCAGCTTGATCGCCTCGTTTTCCAGGACATCTTTCAATGATCCTCGAGGACAATATTCGGTAAGAATTAAGACGGTCGGCGACGGAGAACAGAGGCAAGCTCCGATAAATCTATTAAACAATTAAATTTATTGATAAAAATAGTAAGAAACTAATAGTTTAAAACTCGACCACATTATGCAAAAAATTTTGTAACGCTATCAATGAAATCTCGTGAATGATTATTCTCTTATTATTTATGAAAGAATAATATGCGGATAAAAAAATTTTTTTAAAAGATACCTCACGGTGTTTTCCGATGTAACGTCTCTGACTTGTTTGATTTCCCAAAGCAATTTTTTCGTGACATCGACCACCTTTTTCTTTGTAATTTTTTTGATGGCCACTCTCTCACCCTTGTATATTCCGATCGTAGTAAAGACCGTCGTGAGTGGTAAGGATTCGCAACTGATTTGCGAACCACGACGTATCCTCTGTTCTAACCCGAAATTCTACGAACGATTAAAAAGTAAATAACAGTCTTCTATCGTTCTACAGATTGCAATCATAATCAATCATAATTTATCGCTCACGTTCGCATCGGACATCGCTTGATGTAGATTTATCTTTGACGAAAACTGTTTCCCGACTTCCAGAAGCAGCTCCTCGGGTCTTACGCGCCAGGACATGTTATTGAGATCGGCGGACAATCGCAAATGTCTAGGTAAGAGAATCTTTTTCACATATCGATTAATAATTTCATATTTCTTATTTAAATATAATTTTATATTTCCTATATATAAAAAAATATTTTATATAAGCTGGATATTGGGGGTAGGTAGATATGCTTCGGGGTATATGATTAGATAGGAAACGATGAAAGAAAAATTGAAAGGAAGATTTGGAATGTGAGGAATGGAAGGAGGGAGCGAGTTAATGAGTATGTGCCAGGAAGAAGGGAAGGAAAAAAGATCAGATAATAATCTTCTCATATCTCTTATGGAAACGAGAAAGTAAAGAATTTTGGAAATGAGGAATGCTAGGACGAGCATACCTGTACAAAAGACAAGCGGCTGTAATTGCAGCGAGCAGAAATACGGCAAGTGCTATGCCCGTGTAAGCTACAAACGTGTAAGCATCTCTCCTGGAGGTGCAATCCGGATCGTTCCCCAAAAAGCCGCACTCTGGAATATCTGGTGGAGGCCCTTCTCTTCCTCCCGGCCAGTGAATCTTCTTGCCAGTCATAGGATTATATTCTCGACTTAATCCCAGATAATGAGCGACTACTTCGAACCTGCAAAATACACGCCGGTATTTCTCAATTTATTTTTAACGATTTATGTGGCATTTTATTTTTACAGTGTTATCGATCTAATTTCTTTTTTTGCAGAATTTTTCTCTTTACTAATATTGAAGGAAACTATTTTGCAAGAAAACAAAGTTTTATAATTAATTTAGAAGAAAATTTTGATTTGCGAGTCGTCTAATCGTGAATTCGCAATTTGAAAGCTCCCTTCGTCGACAATAAAACGTCCAGCGGACTGTTTAAACTTTCAATGACCTTCCAGTAATGGGATCTAAATCAAGGATGCTGTAATCCGCGTCACGATCTCCGTTGTCGTCTATCCTGACGTGACCAGTGATACCCATGAAGTCTCGGTCCCACATTCTCCTTGTTATAGATATGCCATCCCTGATATCGCCACCCTCGGCCAGCGTCTCGTTCAGCGCAATCCCTAACAAGTAAACACCGTCGTAAAATGCTCCGACAAAGAAATTCACCTACGAAAAAAATGAGAAATTCATATTATTCGCTCGAATCGATTTTCTTCATTGATAATTGCATCTGAATTCTTCGCGTCTTAAATTATAAAATTATTAATTTAATTGGCTCACTTCTTCGCCTTCCGAAAACGTGTAATTATAATCGGATTGCGCACGCTGCCTAACACTATCGGCAAAATCCTGGAATCGCGGGCTGGTCGGTTGAAGAAGAGACACCCTCAACAGAGCCTCGTAAGCCTTCCTGGCATTAGCATCGTCTTCGTCTCCGACTTCCCAGTCGTGATCACCCCAGTAGGAACCCTTAAAGTCGTTTTATCGCCTTAGGATTGATCGAAAAGTGTCATCTGTGATATAGTTTTGCTGTCAGGTTGATCTATACGGGATTTGGGGTATTCTTTTCTCACGTTTTATATCTCCTTACGTGAAATATCTCGACGTCGAGGAAAGCCCAGTCCCCTCTCGTCATTCCCAATTCGTGGGCGGCCAGCATAAATTTCCTGACTAGTGTTCCGCGAACGCTGAGTATCACAACTGTTCAAAATTGTCATTCATCTTAATCGTAATTGAGATCGCAGCGGTCTACAACTTTCGCCATTGCGGGAAAATATTTTCATGCGGAACATCCTGAAAAATCCGCCTCAACGACAGTCGCAATAAAGCTATATCTAAGATCGAATTTTTTTCTTTCTCTTGGAAAAATTTAAGTCAGATCTTTCGGGACATTCCACAAATATGAGACAAGGACGATCACTCACTTCTCGCGTACATACTCGCGTCGCGCAGGTAAAGATGGTACGACTCCTCCTCGGAATTCCCATCCAACTCCCTCACGAACTTCAAGAGGCCATCTTTACGCAGACCGTACTCCAGATTCTTTCCTACCGTCAACGAGAACAAGTCCGATCTGTCTAATATCAAGGCGACGTGGGACCAACCGAATTCCTTGAACACGCTGGCGAAGACGAGTCGCAGTCGACACTGGCAGTACGACATCCTTGTTAAAGTGGGATACTTGCTTTTGTCTTTAAAAATTCCCTTCGAGAAGAAGGTGAGAGAGATATTAGTGCGTAAGACTCGCTCTCGTAAAGAGATCGCTATAAAAAAGATTTTTAGATTCTATTTTAAGATGATTTTTCGTTAAAATAATCACGTAATATAATTTATGACATATATTGCGAATAATTAGACGGGACGTCATGATAATTATTATGATAAAAGACTCGCGATATATGTTGTCGTAATCCCGAGCTTAATGAGTTTTACGAGAGGAGGTAAGGTAACATTATGTGAATGCGTTTATTTTTTTCCTAGATCTCCGTCGTAATTAGCGCATTAATTAAGATATTAATGATTCTAGGTTTAAAAAGAACGTCAAACAAAGAACAGCATCAACTATTATAAACGATAAACAATGATAAACTTGCAGCAATTAGAGAAGCAAAAAGAAAAAGGAAAAGATTCTACGAGACAATTCTTGCAGCTTCTTACCGTTTCATTCTTCCATTTATGGATCCTTCCAAGGATACCAGATGTGACTGACAGTTCGCCTTCCGAGGGAGGCTTGGTTCGCAAGAAAGCGATAATTACGTTTCACATAATTTAATATTAACGTTGACACAATACGGCGATTCGTCTTAATATCAAAGCGTTACGACATCAAAACGGAACGTTATAGAAAATGGGGATGCGAAGTGAGGGGTAAATTTAATTTAGCGCAATACGGATTTACAGCTATTGCGCAACGACTACCCTCCCTGTCTCTACCAGGGGATGATCTTCAGGGATTATCGATTGTGGGATTCATATTAACATTAAACGTTGGATTACGCAAATGCAAGATATATATGGGAAGTTAATCGCGCGGACGAAACGATAATCAGCAGGAGGCTGATAATCAGATGCTAATATGCATGCCTTTGACGCGAAAGTAAGTGCGACCTACTTGGTCACCCATGCCAGTGATAATTGGACTATTCCAATAGGCCGCGAGACGTGCCACCGGTTCCAGGGCGAAGGCACAGGCCGGTCCGATGAATGCGATCACGTCGTCCCGGAAATGCATGTCCGCCGCCAAACCGGGCGCTCTTGCCCCACTGCAGGTCGGATAACTGAAAAATATGAGCAAATTAGCCGTTGACTCAAATCTTGAGATTAATTAAAATTAATACAATAATTATTGCCAAATGTGCGATTAATTAAAATTAATACAATAATTATTGCCAAATGTGCGATTAATTTGATGCAAAAAGTCTTTTAAAATATCTTTGTACCAAACAAAGTTAAAAAATTGAAGATCCTTAGAAAGAAGTAAAAAATTTAATAACTTTAATATTTTTTAATTTTTATATAAAATAATGTCAAATATAGCCAAATACACGAAAAAAATGATTTTTCTGAAATATTTAAAAATTTGGTTAGACACAGATCTGAAAATTAATTTTGTTGAGCCATGAAAATAATTATACAGCATGTTTAATTGCGGCGATAATATTACAAAAACTTTTGATATTTTACTTGAGTATTTTGCATAATTATTTTGATAATTCAATTATTTTTAGATCTGTATTTTAAATTGGATCCATTTCTCGCTTAAATTTTTATATGTTTTAGCAAGATTATTCCATAGGCATACGGAAACGTTCATATTTTTGTCTAATTATTCAAGAACCGTATATTTATTTTGCAACTTTGTTCCACAACGATCCAACCTCCGTAAAATGTAAAGACATATAATTTCCTGTATTGACGTGGCAATATCAGTGTTACATAGTTAATATCAATTTGTGAAGACGCGCAAAGCGGACATGTGATAGATTATATGTATCATGTATTAAAGCGCAAACATAATACGATTGGATTACCGGGGGTGGATGCGAGAGGGTACAGTGAGAGGGTACGTGTCCTCCCTCTCTCCCTCGTCTGCAGTTGCACGTGACGCACGTACGCGACCAACCGCGTCCTTGAGGGGTTGAAATGCGCATTCCGTTGCGAATACGTCGCGTACGGGACGTACGTGCAATTAGCGACGAATGGCAACAATAATCACGGTGCATTCGCTTCGCGCGAGCGACTCGTGGGATAATAGCGTATTAATTGTACCTGATGAATGGACCAATGATTGGATTCCCAACGATCTGCGCTAATTGAAAATGTTGGCGAAGTATGCGGCGCGCAGAAATGCCGCGTCCCGGCCGCGTTTCCCCCCCCCCCGCGAATGTTTACGACGATACAGAGGACGATCATTGTAATCCCTCGTTTGCGAACGGAAACAAAATTTCGTTGTCATCATGTCGCGCCGAAAATGCGAGTTCGCGAATTGCCCACGAGGGATCTTCATCGGGGATTAACGTCGGGAATTAATTCATTAGAGAGGAACGACTATCGTGGTTAATTAAACGCCGTGTTAAACAACGCGACATTTCGTTCTGTCTTCTTGTTACTGAAATAGTGATTACAACAATCATGTAATCTTCGCTTAACGGACATGTAATTATCCGTGCATCATTATTATTTTCGTCCAAGATTAATTAATCGAAGGAACCGACGTGTTTTACGTCGCACTTAATTCCGCAATAAAGACGCGGGGGTTTCGGTGCCGTTACTGAAATAGTGATTACAACGACGTGTAATCCTCGTGCAACAGATGATATTACACCACATAACGTAGACATAGGTGCGGCGGTACATACTCCGGTGTATGCATATGAATACATTTCTCATCGGACGTATGAGGAGAAAAGATGGAGATGATCAATATATCGAATGTCGCAAATAATTTTTGCTCGCGGATAATTCGCCGTTTTATTTTTTTCTCCGTTAGGTTCCCAGAGGGTCGTACGGTCTATATCGCGAGCGCATCGTTTCCGTGCAAATGCCTGTTCAATTGTATCAATGTAATGACGCAAAAGGGGTGCACGTGAGCAGCGAAACGAATCGTACAAAACGTAACGCGGCTCTGAAACGAGAAATAACGCGAGTGTGTTCAAAAGCCACGTGTCACGAAAGAGATATAAAAAAGAAACGTTTCTAACGACGTTTTTTTCTATTTATAAAAGTAAAATATTTTTTGTGCCCCGCGCGTGTCATTATGCGCTATTGTCTTCAGGAGTGATCTGAAATTATTTATAACGCCCTTTATTTTCGGATTTTACTTCGACGTTCTTTTTCCCAATGTCAATGACCAAAACGATAGAAAGTAAAAAAAAAATCATGTATTCAAATGAAAATGACAGGAGCACGCATGGCCGGTCCATTAGAGGGAGGGAGAATTACGGGGATGAGACACCCGTTATACGTCTTTCATCCGATGCATGGTTTTCGTTACCGTGCATTGAGGAGATCAGACGTTTGTGATTTGGAAATTGCTCCATGGAGGAATTTAATAATTGTCTTCCCCCCGTCGTTCTCGGTTGATTGATAGCATTGATGAAGTGAGTTCAGAATGATGGACGACCAACCCGTCTTTTGGACATTGGCAATAACATCGAGTATGAAGTTATTGTATACCTTCCTTGAACTTTGCGCAGCTGCACGTTGTGAACACTCAAGAAATCGTTTACTTCTGCCAAAGCCAGATCGACCGCCGGGCCACATCGCTCAAGATCAAACGGGCTGTCGAGATGGGATGCCATAAGAACGCCCACGTTATACACCCGCAGAGAATTTCCGTAATCCGCTGCGAAGTGGATCAAAGGACATAAGTTCAATGTGGATGCGAATGTGGACATCAACAAGTGACATCGACACATGAATGCTTAATTAAAAGCGACGCCGTTCAAACGCGGACTTTAAACTGAGAACGAATGAAGCCGATAACGAAACGCTTATCTCTATGGTAAATTCATGCGATCATCTTTAAAGATTGTTCGTAAATATATTTCACGATATTTCTTGAAATAAAATGTTATATAATAAAATGTTATATAATAAATGTTATATAATAAAATGTTATATTTCTTAAATAAAATGTTAGATCTCCATTAAACGCTATTTACAAGCGTAATTTAAATTATTTTAGGTAGATTATTTTATAGTAAATTAAAATAAATAATGGAGCTCTCTAATTTTAAAAGATCGCGGAAGGTGCTGGAAGAACTTTGAAATTTGAATTTTTTTTTTTAAATGGAAAATTGAAATGGAAATTGAAAATTGTTAATTTGCGCGACTACGCAGAAGAAATGCCATTGACGTGTCGCTATTCGTTGAAGAAATCACATAGAAAATACATCCGTTTTATTCATACGCGCGATTACACAGAGCATTAGAAAAGCGAAAGGGGACGTAGAATATGAACTATAAGCCATGCATACCCAATGAGCTTATTCTCACCATCGAGATAAAAATGAAGATTAAAAAAGAAGATCAATAGAGTCACACAAAACAATTGTATTTATTAAGTACACAACGGAGAACTAAGCCACACGTTGAAATTTCTTGTTACTTATAAAACTGAAATTCATAAAACTTTAAAGGAGAGTCGACGTGAATATTACTTAAAAAATAAAATCTCACCAGCGAAATGTATATTTCTACGAATGTAACGAAATACCAAATAATTTGTTTATATTCATGAGAATACATCTCAAATAATTTAAATAATTATCTTTTAAAAAATAAGCTTTTTCTTTTCTTTCTCACATCAATCTCACAACATATTACAATATATCACAACAATGAAATGTATATATATATAGAATATTATTAATAATAACATTATTAATAAAATAACAAAAAAATGATATGCATCAAGTGAGAGACATCTCATGTTAAATACGAAATTGAATTAACACAGCAGAAATTTAGTTTAATTTTATTCAAACAAAATTATGGGTTCTTGCGGGGCGCTTTGCGCTTTGCGCAACAATGAGGTACACAACGAAAAACATTTTCGTGAATGAATGAAACGTCTTACCACGCGGTACACTCACGAGCCACGACACTTGCGAAACAACAACGATCGACAGCGCGAACAACCTCGTTTTTATAAACATAACGATGAAAGAAAGGTGCTGAATCGCGAGAATATTAGGGGGATGATCTGCACACGGTTTGCGATGGGTTCGTGTGTCGCGTTGAAAATAAAAAAGGAAACGGAAAAGGGAACGATCACGCGTCGGACCGCCCGCTGAGCCACGTCTAAACTTTCGCGGGGAAGGATTCAGCCTTATATAGGGGTTGATACAGTCCCACGGAGCCGTGGCAACGCGCAATCCAACGCGCCCCTTGGAGATACCTGCGAGTGGAAAAAAAGAGACGAAAAAAAAAAAATAACGACATGGATATTATGCTTTGTAAACGCGGAAAATAAATAATTTTTCATGATTCTTGGATTCCGTTCCCGACGCTTTTTAGGGGGTAAATTTGTTTGTACAGAGAGATCATAACGCCTATCTCTTCTCAACAAAAGAAAAATTCCTTTCAGCTTCTTCCCGTTTCGTTTTCCGTTTTACTAATATATAATATGAGAAAGAGGATCTCGTGTCAATTTCCGCAAATAAATATGTAGCAGATCCGAGCAAAGCTCGAATTTCAATTCTTGATGGCAATTGTATCGATTGTATGCGGGATGTCACAGATTACAAGTGAATTATCTGTCGTTTATGGTTTCTTCAAATCGAAGGTTCGATTTTTCAAGCCAAAGTACAATCGTGTACGATTTATACATCAAGGGTAACACGGTGGATCTGAAGCATCCTGTACAAGCACGCATGCCTGGGAAATCTAAGACGCGAATTCACGTTGAAAGTGCATCGATTCGATGTAGTGCAGCCCTGGACGAGCCTTTCAGCAGAATGAAGTGCATTGTGGCACCGCGCTGCGTTAGACCCCGAGGGATTTTCAGGATGTAGTGGTGATTCTGCTGGGTGTAGCAAGCACGCGAAATTCTACAGCGTGTCCGATGGTAAGGGTAACGTAAACTTATAACCGGATTGATTTAGATATGTCCACAATGTTCTTCTGGATCTCTTGTCGCCAGGAGAAAATCTCAGAAATAAGATAAGACTATTAGTTATAAAGCAGTAGGTGATAAAGGAAAGGTATGTGAAATTTTTCAGATATAAAATTATGATTATCTCATAATTTTAATTACGACCTCGTAATAATATAATAATATAAATTATATACTTTTCATGATATAATCTTTTATATAATTATATTATTATAGAAGTATACATGTACACAATTACAGCAGTAGTGTTTTGCTGGTGTCTCTCATTTTTTGAAGCTATAAATTTTTTTCATACTCTCTGTAATTATTTGATTGATCAAAATTTAATGTTACATATGCACAGCAAAATGATTATATAATTATCGTACAATAATCGTATCATCTTTTTATAACCGAGTGATTTGTGAAATGAAACATTTTGAAGCGATGAAATAATATCGAGGATGCTGATATTGATTGTTCGACAGACACGTTCGATATGACACGCAAGTGTTCAACCTGGAAATCCGATTCCGTTTTTATCAAAATAGATGCGTAATCTGCGAATGATGCGGCGATTATGGATAACGGTAACAAGCCAATTTCTGCCGAAGAAAAATGGCGCGATGTGGCGAGCCTTCGCGACTCGACCAGTCAGCCAGCAAGGTCATCTGGGTGCGAGCCAATCGGACGGGTTTCTTTGTAGCGAGCCTTCTCAATTTACCACGTGACGTCATACATCATCCGATCCACGTGCGAGCCGAATCATGATCTCCCGAGAGGTATTTGTTTGCTTGAAAAATGACATATTTATCGACTGAACGATTTATATTAGACAAACAAACACGTAGACAAATAATCGCGTGTAATTGCGTTTCATTTTATACTATACATATTTATTTGTTGTATCTTGTATCTTTTATACTATACATATTTATTTGTTGTTGTTTCTTAGAAGCGTCCGATCACGCAATTGTTATTTTAATATGTAACTCTTCCTCGCAAGAATTTTGGCAGCTATTTAACAACGCAATGTTTACATCTTCTTATACGCATTATCTCAGAGATATTAAAAAGACACACAATAAGTGCATCGATTTTTGTAGATTCAATTCTTTATTGCTAAATAAATAAAAAAAGTGAAATAAAATTGTAATTGTGTAATTATTCTTGTAATTATATCCTAATATAAATTGAAATAATTACATCTTCTATAAAATTTTGAAAGTAGATTTTGAAATATCGAAGATTTAATTTCTTTTATTCAAACACTTTTATTTTATTTTTTTGTTATTTTCTTTTTTATAAAAAATAAATTGTGTAAAACATAATTACTTTAATTAAAATAAAAGTCAGTAGAAATTAAAGTTGCAAAAAAATTTTAGAAATAGTTATTTTAGCTCGTGACATGAGAAAAGTAAATAAACGAAATATATCAAACGTTTGGTATCAAACGTTTGGTCGCGCACTTTAATAGTTATTAATGGAATTCCAAGGGGATGAATGGTATAACTTTAAGTAGCTGAAACGGTAGCAACGCACGTGACGGCGAATGCACGTGCCTCAATGTTTACACACGTTTAATTTCATTTTGCGTGAGAGGAGCGCGTGCCGCAGGATTACAAGGAGGCTAGCGATTACGGAAGGCCGGATATAAACAAACGCAATTGAAAACATTCTAACGAGAGTTCGACTGTTTTTTCTTTGGTTTGGTACCGAGAACCTGTTGCCTCCTCTTCGCCCTCCGCCCACCCTTCTGTCTAAGGCCACGTCGTGGTAAACGTGGTGCATCGCGCGACCACCTCCGGTTGGCCCGCCGCTGTCGTACGACTTTATTTACAAAGCCAGCCAGCCAACTCATTACTCCGACATCACGTATTGCACCCATATAAGAATCGAGACGACGCTGAGCCGTGTTTAGTATCAACGAAGGTTCGAGACGCTACGGCTAGTACGATTGTATACATATCTCTTTCTCTTTCTTCTTCTGTTAACATTACGAAGTCCAAGTCAATTTGGGGATTTGATTGAATGTTGAACCTGTCGATTTCTTTCTCGCGCAATCGACGGTTCGATTGGATAATCTAACTTCAATTTTGACTTTCTCGATCGAGACATTCAGAAAAGTTGAAGGGATTCATTTGTGCCTGGTGACGTTTGATATTAACTTTTTTGATATTTTTGAGAGAAGAGTACGTTACTTACATTACGCGATCTGCGAATCTTCATGATGTCTTTTAATAGACATTGCCGAAAGAGCATTCTTCTAACTAGGTGAGTGACATCATCGGTGTGTGTGTGTGTGTGTGTGTGTGTGTGTGTGTGTGTGTGTGTGTGTGTGTGTGTGTGTGTGTGTGCGCGCTTTAAATTTATAATGAAAATGCAGATTAAGTACGTGAATAAAAGAAGACCTTTGAGAACCTCCAAGCGTAAAACAGACCTTGGGTTTTTTATCCAAACTCCTGTTGTTATAAAATTAAAAATTTTTTAAAAAACAATTATAATTTGATCTGTTTATCGGATAACTCTCGTGCTATTTTGTTAATGTGAATAGAATTATTAATCTTCTTGCTTGTCATATGAGAGGAATATTTGAGTAGGCATAATTATTTATATAATAAATAATATCGAATTAAATAGTTACAAATTTTACTGTGAGAACAAGTTTTGTTGTAAACATTTCTGCCTTAATTGATTTAATTGCCGATTAAGTTTGATCGAAGACGACCGAAGACGTTTTAAGCTATTGGTCGCGTGCGTCATCGACAGCTGTAATTGCGTAATTCGTTTGGTAAAATCGTCGCACGGAAATAAATATTGCCAGTTTAAATACTATCAGTATGAGTCATTTATACTATCGTATTCTGTCAATAATAAGCCTCAATGACGTTACCGAGATAATATCGACAATAATAATTCGTAATTAAATCAGTAAGTAATTTAAAAAAGAATATGTAGAATATGTAAGCAGAGAGGATGTAAGCGATGCGATTGAGGCGAGTGAAGTGAGTTTTGGATCAAGTTAAACTGAGAAGGACAGACGATGTTCGATATCTCGCGCGACCAGCTGACTTTGACAGCTCTAGAATCTACGATAGTAACGGCTTTTTCTTTTGTTGAATCCTTTTCCTTTGTTTTTTTTCGTGAACATTGAGAATTTGAATTAGCTCGGTTTCGTGAAAACTATACTTGTGTGATAATTGCGATCGCGAGATGGAAGGGGATGAAGAACGTGCGAACTATCCGAACATTCTCGAATAACAAAGAGGTTACTTTTGATTTCATTGTTTCTCTATTTTCAGGGATTCTGATACTCATATCTATTTTTAATCACTATAGATTAACTTTAATTTTGTAGTTTAACTTACTTCTTATACTTTGTTTTATACTTTTTATTATTTATACTTATACTTTTATACTATTTTAATGTAGAAAGATAAAATCGATAAAAGTGGCGTTATACTTGCTGAAATATTGAGAACATTTATTTTTTTATTTGCAGACAGCTTATGGATAGTGCAGCTGATAAAGATGGTGGAAATGTAACAAGTATCACAGATAAATTTCTGCGCTCTCTAAATGATCTAAAGAAAGTCAACATGTCCATGCAGAATCAGTGGAAATTCCTATTGCAATTGAAAGATTATTTGAACAAGACCAATGACAAGAATCAACAGATCAGTGTTTCAAAGGATTGGCTGGATAGTTTGCAAAAAATAACCTACTCACAGCTTGAGACGATACGAAAATTGTCATCATCGGAGTCCAGCAAAATCACTGATACAAATAAGAACTCAGATACAAAGCCTAAAGACAGTAATGTAGAAAATGTGAAGCTAACATTAATGTCCGAACAAGCAAGGTCATTCCTTCATCCTGATTCTGCAACTATGCAACCAAAAGCACGGCAGGTAATTGATTATAAACTATATAAGACAACGATGATATTCAAGTGCATTTAATGAAAAGTTAATTCTTTCAGCAACAAATTCGTGAAGGTACACCTGACAGTAAAGTACAATCAAAAGACAGCTTAACTGTGCCACAAATTCTCTCCGCGTTGTTCTTCAAATTATCTCCGAAAACTACGCAAAGCGTCGCTATACCAAAGTGGAAGGTGAATATTCACAACAATATTCCGAAGCACAGCATTATTTCTCGTACGCGTCACGTTTTGAACAGCATCGAATCGGCCGAATCGAATGCCTCGAAGCTGCGGCGAATAGAAGATTTGCTGTTGCATGTTGATCAGTATCCAGAAGCAAGGCATTATGCGATCAAGGAAGGAGCGATTAAGGTCTTGCTGCGAACTCGTCAAAAAACAAAAGATGAAGAGATTAAAGGTATATAAAAAGAAAATGTAAAATTTTAATAACGGTTGTTATCTATATCATTTATAATTTCAATTCATGCAGCATCTATCAGAGAAGCGCTAGCTGTAATGGGTTACATTGATCCCTTGCCCGGTCGGGGTATCAGAATTCTTTCAATCGACGGCGGTGGCATTCGTGGAGTATTGGTTATAGAGATGTTGAAGAAATTGGAGGAGTTGACAGGGAAAAAGACATATGAAATGTTTGACTATATATGTGGGGTGAGCACAGGAGCTATTCTCGCTGCTGTGTTAGGTAATTTTCTAATTCTTTTCAAATTCTAGAAATCACTTGTTAAACTCTTAATAATCATTAATTATTAGAAAATAACATAATATTATACTAATTTTTTATTTGTGTATATCTGAATTAATCTATGCCATCTGTGTGCAGTATTGCCAAAGGATGTTTTAGAAGGTAAACCTTCAAATTGATTCATGGCATGTACCGCATGCAGTTTATTCCATCAAGGGAACGTCGTAAAATTTTTGTTTATCATGAATTTTAATGTTTGTTTGTTATTACAGGAGGACACAAGAGAAAATCATTAGACGAAGTTTTGACATTATACAAGGAATTGAGTACTAGAGTGTTCACGCAAAGTGCTATAAAAGGCACAAGCAGTTTAGTTTGGAGTCACGCATATTATGATACTGCGTTGTGGGAACAGCTGTTAGCAGAGCACTTAGGCGACAAAATTCTTATCAAAACCACGCGCGACCCAAATGCACCAAAGGTGCGTGAATTTTAATATATATCGTTAAGCAAAATTTGAAATAAGATGTATAATTCATAAACTGTGGTGGGTAATTTAAATGTAAAAGACATATTCAAGTCTGAAATTTTAGTTTTCAGCAATATCCGCCGTAGTAAATCATGAACGCGTTATGGCTTATGTGTTTCGAAATTATACACTACCGCACAGAGTGGAGAGCCAATACATGGGATCTCATAAGTGTAAATTATGGGAAGCCGTGAGAGCATCAGCTGCTGCACCAAGTTATTTTGAGGAATTTAAATACGGCGAATATCTTCATCAGGACGGTGGTAAGCTACATGTGTCATTTCGACGCATAAAAAATATATAAAAGTTTTTACAGCATTATTGAGAACAATTATGCCATTTTAGGTATTCTGGTAAATAATCCGTGCGCCGTGGCGATACACGAAGCTAAACAACTGTGGCCGAATAATCCAATTCAATGTGTCGTATCATTCGGAACAGGTCGAATTCCACATCATATCTACGAAAACGAATCTTCGGAGGTAGCGATATCAAGTTGGAAAGAGAAGTTCTACAAAATTTTGGACAGCGCCACCGATACAGAAGGTTAATATTAATAAAAACAATATAAATGTAAAACTATTTTGACACAAAGAAAAATATAATTAATTCGTCGTAATTTTCAGCTGTGCATACAATGCTCAACGATCTGCTACCTGACCATATTTACTTTAGATTTAACCCTTATTTAACGGAAATGTTATCGATGGTGGAAATCCGACCTGAGAAGATCAATCTAATGGAACAAGATGCAAGAATGTACATACGTCGAAACGAAGAGAAATTTCAAAAAGCTGCTACGGCCTTGTTAGAGAAACGGCAGATCCAGCAAAAAGTTGCGGATTGGATTGCGCTGCAAAGACAATTATTCGGCTTATAAAGAGCGATACTTCAAATATTGACGTGCATTCCACAACTGCGTTTGCAAATCACACGGATATTTACGGATTTATAGTACAATTTTTTTACCTCTTATGTGCTATGGCTACAATTTGAAATTTTTCAAATAATTTTTTCTTGTTAATGCTTTTTTGAACAATACAATAATAAAAAAGAAGGCAATAGGTAGATGCATGTTTTTAAAATAGCTTGTCACATTTTTTTATTTATAGCATATTTTTCATAATTTGTTAAACTCTTTTGCTTGCCATTAGTTATAATAGTAAGATAGTGATATTAAATGAACAACTTTATTTTAGCTTAACATTGGATCATTGTTAGCGTAGCGTTTGACTGTGATATATTTATAATTTATGAACATATTTAAAATTTATCAGTATAATTTTATATTTCGTTGTCATATGTATTATCTTAGTAGTAAAAGAGTAAAATTGTATATTTTTAACATAATAAGAGAGTGTATTTCTCATATATCAATAATTTAAAAATAATGTATGAATGTTTTATATGTATTTTTCTTTACTGTGTAAATATGTGTATGTAATAAAACTTTAATAAAAACATCACCTAAATATGTGCAAATTAAATAGAAAATAGAAAAGAATTCAATTTTCTTGAAGATAATCTTATTGAGAAAAATTTTTT